TTATTTTGGTAAATCTTTCTAGTATATCACCCCATAATGTGGTCAGCTGTTTCAAGACTGTTTAATTTTAAATATAAACCATTAGGTTATGATCTTGTGATCAAGGCCGGCGCGATAGGGGTGTGTGTGTGTGTGAGGGGGGGAGGGGGTGTAATGCCCCCCCCCCCACGTGACCCCTACTCGCGCCGGCCCTGCTTGTGATTGACTTTTCTAATTTATTATCTTTGATAAAAGACAGTGCATTAATTATTTCATTACATTTTTTTTAAACTAATACTTGCATCAGGTCTTGTTAAGCCTCTGGTATCAGGTCTGGTTAAGCACCTGTTATCAGGTCTTGTTAAACACCTGGTGTCAGGTCTTGTTAAGCACCTGCAAATCTGCAACCCTATATTGCTATAATACTATCTGTCGATATTGGAAATTTTTTGTGAGTTTTTTATTTATTAATTTTTTATTTAAATCTTTATTCTTTTATAATTGCAAAACACAAACTTTTATATTTACTACGTGAAGTATTTAACATGTAAACATGTAACACATCATTCTACAGCGGTTCTCGACAACAAGACCTTCTACCAGTCCCCGCGTTCTTTTTTTATATTTTAAAAATATTTTTTTTGTAATTGTTTATTTTTTATACTTCAGCTTGTAAGTTTTATGAAATATTGACGAAATAATGTAATAAAAAAAAAAATCTGATAGTTTTTTAAGTGATTTTCTGTTTTAATTAAATTGTTCTATTTCCCATCAATATGTCAAAGAACTGAAAAAATTATAGATATTTTGAAGCAGGAAAAAAAAATTTAGAAGCATTTCTAAAAACAGTCCACAGACCATTCACCAACAAGATTTAAAGAATGTGCATTAAAAGAGTATGGTACAAATGTAGCAAACATAAAAAAATGTACAAATGTATAAAGGATTAACTTCTTTAATGCGAGTTTGAAGTAACTTTGACCACGACAATTGTTTATATCTAATCCATACAAATTCTAAAAATAAAAATATAGTATCTGATAATTCTTCAGATTTATAAACAAAGTAGGGTAAAAACCCTAAAAAATGTTCTAACAAACTGCCATTCTTTTGAACCATCCGAAAAATGCAAAACATTTTATCTAAATGACTAATGTCAGGAGTAGAATCAATACTGATGGAAAAATATTTAACTTTCTTTATTACTTTTACCATTTTTTGTATAACATTATCTGCTATTATACTTAAGAACTGCTCATATATTTTAAAAGGTACAATGTTGAACCTTTTCCTTTATTGCCAAACTTCTCAATATGCTGTGCTAAAAAAAGATCAAACTGAGCAAGTTAATTTTTTTTTTTTATCAAACCAACGTTTTCGCATGAGTAATTTGCCCATTATTATGTATAATTTGCAAATAGAATTTGATCCCCTTTTGAGTTATTCTTTCTTCTGCCAACCATATTCACAAAATACGTATATAATGTTTATAAAGATGAACTTCCAATGTTTACATTCTTGTTTTAAAAAATACGCGCGCGTATACCTGTAGGCAGAAAAAACAAATAATTAGAAATTTTGCCGGAAAGAGTTTGGAGATATTTAGTAGGTCTATGAGTCGGTCTATGATTTGGACATAATAATATTATAAAAATATAAAAAAATACGATTTTCCAAGATTTCTAAAATCTACCATTCTGACGGCTGGCGCCCTATCAAAACCTGGCGCCCAGGGCCGAAGTTTCCCTGGCCTTCCCCTAATTCTAATTCTAATGACTATGAAAAGATCGTATTGAATAATACCCCGTTCATACTGACGGTAAAACACGTTTTTTCATTTAGAAGGGTATGGAGTTGTTTTTGTAAAAAGCTGCATAAGAAAAACAAAAAAACAATACTGCGAAGTTGTTTTGTCAAAATAAAATATTTGTGTTGATATAAAATACCTCGCCAAGTTGTTTTATTGCTGCTTTATATAGTTTATAACATTAAAAAAATAAAGTACATTTAAAATAAAACGTGTTTTATCTCCAATTATAAGTTCATCGGTAATAATTTTAAAACACATGATCAGTTAAAACTAAAATTATTACAAGCTAATAGATAATTTTTTTAATTTCAACTTTTTTTAGAAAAAAGTTAAAATTAAAAAAAATGTTATAATATATATAATAATAATATAATATAAATAAGTATTAAACTTATATTATTAAATTTTATTAAACTTAATATACTTTTCTACAAGTTGAAGAATAAACAACTTTTGACGTGCAATAAATGAAATTTATTCACATAGCAATATAAAGTGTGTGATGGTTGTGATTTAGGAGTATAGATTGGTATGGTAGTAATAGTCAAATTATTTCTTTTTAGACTATAATTTTTTTGTTTTTTTAAAAGTAAGTAATTTCTGTAAACAGTAAAAATTCTTTATGTTTGTAATTACTTTACGTATAATCACTCGTAATATAAAATAATTGTGCAACCCCATAAAATATTTTTCAAATAATTGTGCAACCGCATAAAATTTTTTTCAATAATTTTATGAAATAATATCTTTAAATTTCAAAGCTTTTGTAAAATAAATTGTAAATCATAAATTTAATTTTTGAGAGAAGAAAAAATATTTTTGAAAAAAAAAAAGATTTATAGGCAACATACAGTAGATTTGGGATCATCAAGCCCGATGCCATGCGATTAAGTGAAATTCTTATTTTGTAAAGTTATGCTTCATGTTTAATAAAAGTACACTATTTTTTTGCCAATAGGTACAAATTAAGTTATGCTTACTTATTTTGTTGATTCTGACTTTATACCTTCTATATATGTTCCACCTGCTACTCCAACAATTGTTAGCACTCCTCTTGGTAGACCTAATTTAAAATTTGATAAGTCCTCTTTGAGATCTAAGTATAGAAAAGTAGCTGAAATGGATCAATACTCAGCTAGCCAATTATTATTTGCAACAAAAGTCAAATTTATAAAAAATTATGAACCTAAAAAAGCCAAAGTAGCAGGAAAATTGTTGATGAATACTATATCTCCATCTTACATGTTTATTGATAAAGCTTTGGCATTTATTTTTGATTGTAATTTGACAATGGCATCTTATCAACTGATAAAAAAGAGAACTGATGTAAAGGAATGATGATGCAATCTCTACCCATCATGCAATCTCTACTCAGCATATAACAATGTTAGAGGCCAAAAGATCAATTTTATTCTAAAAATATTTGTGTTCCACTTCAAGGTTTACAACAAGACTTTTGGAGGCACAGCCAATGAGTATAATAAAGTAACTCTAATATACAAAGCTGATTTTGATGGCTCAAATGGGCATAGTATTTATAAACAAACTTGTAATGATGATGGGTGTACTAGATATCTGAAGAGTAAGGAGTCTCTGTTTATTACATTCTTTGTGCATTAAGAGCTCTCATCAATTGTCAATGATAAAAAAATTATTCTTTGGAGAAACTTTAAATCATCATCTACTTTGTACTATTGACCATTATGATTTAAGTTTGTAGAGGAAACTGCAGACCTTCTTCGTAGTCAAGAATTGACATTAAAAAATGAGATCAAACAACTAACTCAAACAAGATGTCCTACTTATTGGTAAGTCTATTGATGTTGATCATATAAGTGGAATTACTATGATTGATGGCAAAGCTCATACTGCATTATCAGATGACTTGTCACAGTGCTGCTCTCTATGTGATGGTAGTCCTTAAGAAATAAACGATATTTACAAGGTAAATATAATAGCAAATATTTTGTACACAGGTATACTAGGAATGTGAACTCACATATGTGTATATATATACATACACACAAAATATTTTCACATTATATATATATATATATATATATATATATATATATATATATATATATATATATATATATATATATATAACACCACATGAGGTGTGCAGATTTTTTTTTGAGTGAAGTTTTATATCAGATAGATTATATGACATTAATTAGTTATAAAGTAGGCCATGATTGTAGTAAAGTAGGCCACGGGTAGATGATTTTAGTTTTTGAGATTTTAGAAAAATTTTTTTACCGAGTTCAACGATAATTTTTAGTTTGGTGACAAAATTGTGCATTTTGATTTGATTTTACCGATAACCGTTTTACTGCTATGGCAATAATGGCTTTTTGTTTTTATTCTAAAATTTATATTCATGTCTGAGAAACCGAAAGATATTCGATTATACAAAATTAGTTCAAATATTTAGATGATATTCAGTTTTTCTACAGTATTTAAGTATATTTTTCTACAGTACTTTGGTATACTTTATTTTATCTATAGGTCAAACAAAAAAAAAGGGAAATTATAGAAGTTACATAATTTTTTCAGTTATTGCAAAACTACGTTGGACGGATTTATTTCCTTCTTCAAACTACTGGTTCATTAAACACAATAAATGAAATCAAATTCTTCAACTATTCATTTATTTTATTAAACTTTTTAAACTGTTTTATATCTTTGAATAAAAACTTGAAGTATTTTTAACAATAAAATTTTTAAAAACGCTAACACATTAAAATAATTTTGTAAATATAATTTACAAAATTTATTTTGTAAATATAAATTACAAAATTTATGGTCAAATAAATTCTATTTAAATGAAATCTATATAAATTGATTATACATTTAAATAAACTAAACACAATACATACATAAATATAATACATGCATACAATGAGGTGAATTTTTAAGGTGGTAAATCCGAGTAAATTAATTTGGAGAAACTGAAGAAAAACTTGTAGGCGCACAACAACAAGAATTGATACTCAATCTATTATTAGGACCAATAGTCTAATATAAAGTTTTATATTTAAATAGATGATAGATTTCAGTATATAAAATTTAAAAATGAAATAAACTCAGAGTTTTTTTTTTTGCCTTTTGAAAATTCATTACTCATTTATGTTTGCATAATGCATGTATAAAGACCTGTATACGTGTATGTTTTTAAAATAGAGTTCAGAAACCTTATTTCAAAAAGCAATGGTCTTTGAACCACAAAAAAATGTACATAAAAAGGTATAGTTTGTTAGTTGCTATATTGTATTGTATTGTTATATTGTATTGTTTGTAATAAAAGTATTATATTAAAAAAAAATTTATTTAATTTTATCAATAATTAAGTTATTCCATTTTAAAATAAGATCATGCAGCTTTAACGCTGCTAGTTCTAGACTCTGTCTTCAAAAAGTAAATTACATACATTACATACATCACATAACTTATAAATAAAAACCAATGTAGATAAATTATTTGGATTTAATAATTTTGTCATCAGGAAATAATTCTTTGGCAGGAGCTAAACCCAATAACATAATGTGTCGATCATAAGCTTTTGTCTTGATGAATAAATTATCGGTACCATGAAGTCTATCTAAAACACCCAGTGTTCCAAAATTGTTCACAAACCTATAAAGTAAAGCAAAAGGCTTTCTATTTTAACCAAAAACTTGTTTTTGACGTCCAAAACAAAAAAAAATTTAATTAAATTTATTAATAAAGTATTCAAAAATAAAATGTTTTTAATTTTTAAAAGCAACAATACTTTAGGTGGTGGTAATCATGAGCTTCAGGAGAAGGTAAAAACGGAAGATGGTAGCCACCATGTGCTATGTGAGTTGATGTCAGAGTGATACAATACCAAAGAAGGGCTGTAGCTAGGTGGGAACCCATAATGATAGGTCCTATACTAATTGGCAGAACATTACAAAAAATGTGTTCCAGAGGATGCGCATAAATACAAACAATCGAAATTGGTGCGGTCCATTCATGATGTATCTTATGAATATGCTTGTATATTCTCGGATGATGTGCAGCCCTTTGAAAAAAAAAATTTATAACAAAAAGAATTGTTTCCCCAAAAGTCTAAGCTTTTTTTAATAGAAATAGAAGAGAGAGCTTTTTTAATAGAAGAGAGAGCTTTTTTTAATAGAAATAGAAGAGAGCTTTCACTAAAAACTTTTTTTTTCTCTCAAATCTCTATATTAAAAATTTTGAAAACATTTACATAAGTAAAGTTAGCTATTTTGGAATTAGCGCACCAAAATATATCAGAAGTCATAAAAATCAAAAATTGTAGCAACATTTTTTACTTTTATTTTAATTGCAGCCATTATAATAAACATTCAAATTTTTGAACAAAAAAATCTTGACTCCGCAATTTTATTTCAACAATTTTATAAAATTAACAATTGTTTATTTTGTAAAATTGTGGAAATAAAATAGTGTACAAAATAAAATCTTTTATTAACAAGTCATTTTTAAAGATTTTGAAGGAAGGCTTCTTCCAAATCATTCATTATACAAAGCATTTACTTTTAACCATTATGCAAAAATTTTTGCATAATGGTTAGCAAACCAAAATTGCTATTGTCTCCATTGTCTGTGAATGTAAATTAAGACTAAGCAGTAAGCTGTACTCTTTACTTTAAAATACTTTTTGTATTTTTTTTAGCATCTTTAATCTTAAGAATAATTTAAAAACAATTTTTAAATTTATTGCAAATCAAATAATATTTGAATATAGGCTTCGTATTTGCTTAGATTTTGTGTGTAACCAATGATGAAAAGTAATTACCAACCAATGATGAAGAACAATTAAAGTTTTTTTTCACTTAATGTTTGCATACAACTTGCATAACTCTAACATACAACTCGCATAATTCTAACATACAACTCGCATAATTCTAACATACAACTCCCATAATTCTAACATACAACTCCCATAATTCTAACATACAACTCGCATAACTCTAACATACAACTCGCATAATTCTACCATACAACTTGCATAATTCTAACATACAACTCGCGTAATTCTAACTTTATTGTGAATTGCTTAAATACTTAATGTAAAAACTTTTTAACTTAAAAAATACTTTTAAATAGACCATAACCTGATAGATACAAAAAAAAAAAAAGTTTTACTTAATAACTCACTTGATGCAAAATATATATATATATAAAAACAAAACAATTCAGGCACTTTTTTTTATTTTTTTATTTATTTGCATTCACTCCCAACAAGGCTGCAAGCAACCACTATTACGTTGGGAGTTACTAGGAAAAAAAAAACAGAGCTATAGAGCAAGGAAACGGTTGACAGAAGACTTGAAAAGTTGAAGGTTGTATGAGTAAGGAAAACATGAAGATGGGAGAGAGTTCCAAAGGATTGAAGTGCGGTGAAAAAAACTAGATGAATAAAAGTTTTTAGAGCATGCAGGGACAGATACAGTAAACGAATGAGACTTAGCTGAATGACGAGTAAAACGAGAATGAATTTTAGTTGATGGAACTAGAGATGATAACTCCTTTGAGCAGTGACCATGATAGTATTTGTAGAAAAGAGAAAGAGATGCAACTTTACGACAATGGGAAAGAGGTTCAAGCTTAGCAGATAGTCCAGGTCCAACAACATTTACAATGCGTTTTCAATGAGAAAGTATTGTAAATGTTGTTTTCAACAACATTTACAATACTTATATATATACTTATAATATACTTATATATATACTTACAATACTTATATATATACTTATAATATGACAACAGTATTCCATACAGGGACGAATAAGAGATTTGTAGAGGTAGAGAATGGAATCAGAAGTAAGGAAATGGCGAGCACGATAAAGAGAAGCAACCTTAGCAGAAGCTAATTTAGCAATCGATTGTATATATGGTTTCCATGAAAGGTCAGTAGTAAGCGATAATCCAAGAAGATGTAAAGAGGAGGACTCAGTAAAAGGATTGCCATTCATTAATATAGGAATGTTGACCATATTACGGTAGTTGTTTGCAGTAAGCAACTGGGTTTTTTTAGAGTTGAAATTCACAAGCCACTGTGAACCCCAATCTATTACTGAAGTGAGATCGGATTCAAGATCAGCTGCTTGTTCTAGGCGATCGAAAAGAGAAGACTTTTTGTCAAGACAGGAGTATAAAGTTGAGTCATCAGCAAAAAGAGCTACTTTAGATGAAAGGTTGTCAGAAAGATCGTTTATGTAGATAAGAAACAAAACAGGGCGCAGGATGGAACCTTGGGGAACCCCAGAAGTTACTGGAAATAAAGAAGAGTGTTGGCCTTCAAGGATGACTTTAATAAACCGGTTAGAAAAAAATGATTTGATAATCTCAAAAACTTTCCCAGAAACACCATATGAAGCAAGCTTATGGAGAAGACCAGCATGCCAAACTTTGTCAAAAGCTTTAGATATGTCGAGAGCAATAGCCCTAGCCTCACCGCCTCCATCTAATGCACGATAAAAACTTTAAGTTACAGCAGTTAGCAAGTCGGCCGTAGAGCGAGAGGATCGAAAACCGTATTGATTGTCTGACAGTAGTTTATTTGACTCAAGATGAGATGTGAGGAATTTGTTGATCAAAGACTCAAAGACCTTGCTAATAACAGAAAGAAGACTGATCGGACGATAATTGGAGGGGTCAGAATTTTCTCCAGAGTTTTTGAATATTGGAACCACAGATGCCATTTTCCAACAAGCAGGAAAACAAGACTCAGTCAAACACTTGTTAAATAGTTTGGAGAGAATTGAAGAAAGTTCTGGAGAACAATTCTGCAAGACTGTGACAGGAACTTTGTCTGGACCACAAGCTGTAGACAAGTTTAATTGAGATATGACTTTAGCAACAGAAGCCGGAGTGATTTGAATGTCTAACAATGGGTCAACCTGTTTGACTGGAATGGAAGGAAGAGAATGTCCATAAGATTCAAGAGTGGAATTAGAAGAAAAGTTCTTTGCAAATAGTTCTACCTTATCCTTGGGAGAGGTAATAAGATCAGTCCCATGAATGAGAGATGGAATGTTAGATCTACCCTTGTAGATAATGCTGTTGAAGATTTTCCAAAAGTCTTTAGAGCCTAACTTCTGCAATAAGATGCGAGATTTAGTGAACTGAGAATAATGGAGTTTAGCATCAGAAAGCACCTTTTTACATTGATTTCTTGCAATAATAAATAGCCGTTTGTTCTCAAGAGAGTTGTTCTTTTGAAAAAGATGAAAAAAATGATTACGATTGGATATAGCAGCCGCACAAGAAGGAGAAAACCATGGAGTAGAATGAGGCTTGACTTGAAACCGACGCGAAGGAATAAAAGCTTCCATTCCAGCCTGAATCCAGGAGGTTACGTAGGAGGCACATTTGTCAGCTGAGAGAGAAAAAACATCAGCCCAAGGAACATCACGAAGAAAATCATGAAAGGAATCCCAGTCAGCTTTAGGGTAGTAGTAGGTGGTACGATGATAAGGTGAGCCCAAAAAAGAAGTACGAGAAGAAAGATTTATAGGGATCATTGCATGGTCAGAACCACCTAAGGGAGAAAAGGGAGAAACTGAACATAGGCTAGGGTCAGAGACAAGACATAAGTCAAGGAGTGAAGGTAAATGATTAGGGTTGTCAGGAAAACGAGTCACAAAGTTAACTATCTGAGTAAGAGATTGAGAAACGCAGAAGTTAAAGGCTTTAGTGCCAGCAGGATCAGTGGTGTTAGAGCCAAGCCATTTAGTGTGATGGGCATTAAAATCACCAACAACAACAATATTGGCAGAAGGGTAAAGAGAGAGGGCATGGTCAATTTGATCAGAGATAACATCTAAAAGAGTGCAATCATGGGAAGAAGGAGAACGATAAAGAACAAAGAGAAAGGTGATAGAGTGAAGAGGTGCTAGGTGAAAGCACATAAAAGAATGGTCAAAGGATTCAAACCTGATTTCACGACAAATAGGGGAATTAATGCGTATGTATACCCCTAAACCTAGCATGTGACTATTGGAGTCTTTACGAATCAAAGGATAGTACCCATCAACACTGACATCTGAAGAAGGAATTGCAGAACTTAAATTTGTTTCACTGAGTGCAAGCAAGTCTGGTAAATTTTGCAGGAGGTAAGACTCAACTGATGGAAAGTTGCTTCGTAGACCGCGAATATTGGTAAAAGATATATTAAAATATTTAGGTGGTGGGGATGGTTTTTTAGATTTTAATTTTTGGTTACTTTGGTCATGATTTGGGTTTAATGAGAACTTGACTCATTCATAGATAGAGCACAGCCTTCTAATCAATGAGCTATGCAGTTGTCTCAGTCCTGTTAATTAACCCTAAGCCGTGACATAGGGCTCCTTATGTGGCCTTGACAATGCACATTAAAAGCATTAACAGGGACACCATCCATGCGCAACATGGCACTGTTAATACTCTGATATTTTGCAGCTGTTGATGGAATCAGCCTCTCTGAGAGCTACCACAGAGTTTGGGAAACCTTACTACCAGCCGGCCTCAGAACCATTAAACTGAGTTTTAGAGCTGTACCCTCATATGGAGATAACAGGAAGAGTTGCATAGCCATTATCAAGGAGGCATAAGCAAAATTCTCTGAGTAGAGTCAAGGAGATCCAGCATTCATCATCCTAGGCAGGAAACAATGTAACACAGGTTACATCTACGCCAGCTTAATAGATGAAGAAGGGGTTCGAGGCTGGTTAGCAGAATTTTTCTGCTTACCCCTAAAATCTTTGCCTAGGAGGCCTTCTACAAGACAGTAGCTGGATGTAGTTAATACCAAGAGCTCCAAGGCAGGGGATGTTTAGCTGGATGCAGTTAACATCTGCCCAAGATGAGTGTTTTTATCGAGACACCATTTCTAGCCTTTACTCAACCAAGAGCCCCAAGGCAGGGGAATTTTTAGTCGGAGTTTATTTCTCCTAGCCTTTGCATAAGAAGAGCACACTCTGCAAGGCAGCAGGGCTTGTGGCAGGTGGTACTGGGTTACGTGATACCAGTAGCAAGATTGATCTTGATTATCCTGACCTGACCTGGAGTAGTTAAAAAGAGTTACTTCCCGCAACAGTACTTTGAGAAAACCAGGCATGATATTTTGGAAGTGCATTAGGAAAACACTGCATCTAACAAAATACAAGAGTCTAAGGTGAGTGTAGGTTTTGTAGTTGGAGTAAGTAGTTAGTTACTGAGCTCACGCTGCATTAGAGTATAAACAGAACACAAACATAAATCAACTTACGGGTGAGTCAACACCGCGCCAGAGGTTCAGACAGAACACAGACATACATAAAGAACATAAAGTAAGTTACGGGTGAGCGAACACCGCGCCAGAGGTTCAGACAGAACACAAACATACATATAACGTAGATTACAGGTGAGCTAATACAGTAACTAAGGCACCTCCAACTATATAAAAAAAAAAAAAAAAAAAAAAAAAAAAAAAATACTATAGGCATGACTGATATTAGATAGTACTGATGACAGGAAGAACACTCCTTCCAGCCTTTGCATAAAAAAGCAAATCCTGCAAGGCAGCAGAACATGGAACAGGTTGCACTGGGTTACATGTTACCAGTAGCAGGAGATATTTATAGATATTTATTGTACCTTACATGACAGATTAGGGTTATACTTTATTTTTGTTTGGAAGCTTTTTTTTTAATTGAAGTTTTTTTTATAGCTGGCATCAAGAAGGTAGTGACCCATCTGATAGTAGTGATGATGAAGACGAGCTTGATGTAGATGAGACTGCCGACACAGACAGGAACAAAAATGAAGGTTCAGATGAGGTTGATGAAGAAGATGCTGTGTCCGCTGCTGATACGAACGATAACAGAGTCGAAGGTGCTGATGGTGAAACTGCCGATTTGGTCGAGAATGGAATACTAACGTAAGCGTCTTTAGCATGACACTTTTTGATTGAAAACTTATATTAATAATTATTATTATATTTGTGTTTCTTTATTTAACAGGGAGACTCCAAAGCTTCTTACGTGAAAAAGGCTTCGGCAGCCAGTGAACTGGAAGCAGAACGCCCTATTAACTGTCGCCCTATTAACAGGAATGCCCTATTAACTGTCATCTGAAATGTCGAAACAACATTGTTGCAATAGAGAGGGAAAAAATTCACTCAGACTTTTGGTCGCTTAGTGACCAAAAAAAAAGCGCACTTTTACTCTAAATTTGTGCAACGTGATTTCAAAATTCAAGAATGACTTCAGCGTCAAACTCCTGACGAAAGCAGCAAGAAGTTTAGCTACCGGTACTTTTATAAAAAATATATACCTATGAGACCTACTTATATAAATAAATAAATAAATATATTTATATTATATTATTTTTATATTATATTATATTATACTATATTATATTATATATTATATTATATTATATATTATATTATATTATATATTATATTATTTTTATATTATATTATATTATATTTATATTATATATTTATATTATATATTATATAAAATAAATAAATAAATACCTACTTATATAAATAATATATACCTATGAGAGTAATAAAAACCCACTTCTTCTATTAATATGAAAATACACAATTCAAACAACACCCATTGAAATGTTGGAAGTTCTTTTGGTTCATAAGTTACATTGCGTAATGTACCTAACATGTAAAGCGGGACTGAACAACATAACGCAATAAACTGATTGATCAAACATACTCGTATTGCCTTCAATAGTTTTTCTCTATTTAACTATAATTATTATGTTAAAAGTTAATTTTTTTAATTTTTTTTTACAACTTAGCACTATTACAATTTATAAACAAAATTTATTAAACAATTTTATGTAAATATATCAAGATAGATGTATTAAAGCGTGTACACGAAATAAATGTGAAAGAATAAGTACGTCATTTTTTTTCAGTGGTTATATTAAAATCTTTTTAACTGTTTTGTATTTTGTTTGCAACGTGTTGTGGTATTAGATTTTTGATTTAACTTAAAATTAGTTTTAAAAATGACAAAAGAAGAAGACATAAGAGAAAAAATTATGCACAAATATTTGGAAAATCCTAATAGTAGCTAAAATTCGATAGCAAAAGCGCTGCAAATACATCCATACACCGTTAGTCGTGTAATCCAATGTTTTTCTCAAACAAAATTGATCAAACGTAAATCTGGTGGTGGAAGAAAGAAGGGTTTTTAAGATAAAAAACTAGTTAGAAAACTGGTTAAAAGTTTTAAGACTAACCCAAGCCTTTCAGTAAGGGAGCGTGCAAACATTTATGGACTTTCTCATAGTTTTGTAAAAGTTCAAAATAAACATGGTTTTCGTTCTTTCAAAGCACAAAAAGTGCCCCACCAATCTGAAACTCAACAAAAAAGTGCAAAAACCCACTGCAGAAAGTTGCATGACAATTTCATTTCTAAAAATTTTGTATTATTGAAGACGATGAAACTTATATTAAGTACGATCATCAGCAAATTCCTGGTGCCGTCTATTATATTGCCAAATATAGAGGAAAAGCAGAAATAAGAATTTTAATTACATAATTTTAATTACATAAAATTTTAATTACATAAAATTTTAATTACATAAATTTTAATTACATAATTTTAATTACATAAAATAAGAAATTTAATTACATAAAACACGACAAGTTTGCTAAAAAAGTCTTGATTTGGCAAGCTATTTGCAGTTGTGGTTAAAAATCAGCACCTTATATTTCTCAGTTCACACTTTTGGGTCAAATATATGTTAAAGAGTGTTTATAAAAACGCCTTTTACCTCTCAATAAATCACACGATAAGACCCTGTGTTCTGGCCAGATTTAGCTTCAATTCATTATTGTAAACTAGCTTTGGAATGGTATAAAAATAATAATGTGAAATTTGTGCCTAAAACAGAAAATCCTCCAAACTGCCTAGAATTAAGAGTTATTGAAAAGTACTGGGCCATCATTAAAAGAAAAATGAAAAAAACAAAAAAACTTTGCAGAAATATTAAAGATATTAAAATATCATTTAAATTAAAGCATCAAATGGCTTCAATTCTTATTCTGTGCAAAAGCTTATGGGTACCGCAAAAGCAAAAGTTCGAAATTTTATTAGATTCCCACAGGAATAGTTTGATTTTTTTTTTATATTTGATCTTCTTATATTATTGTCTGAAAGTTATTACTTGGTTAGAAATAAAAATTGAAGAGTACTTTTTTTTAGTTATTTTTCTACTTTCACATTTATTTCGTGTACACGCTTTATTAAAAAATGCAAATAAATATGTTATAATATTAATATTATTTATAGTATAATAATATTCACATATAAAAAAAAAAAAAAAATTTTAATTACTTGATTTACTTCTTGCACTTTATATTTTTGCGCAAACTTTGGCTTTGCAATGTCCAAATACAAAAAAAACAATCCATTCAGCCAGAAATAAACAAACAAAAATGAATTTATACCTTAAAGAAAAATAGAAAATTCATACTTTAAATAAGAATATTAGTATGGCAATTTAAAGTATTAAAACATATTATTAAAGTATTAAATAAATTAAAATAATTAAAAACTATTTAATTTACCAACAGTAGCAAACAGGAATTTATGACCACCGAAAATTCCATGAAATGCCAAGTCCCAAATATTTTCATATAAACTTTTTGATGCTCCCCAGAATTGCTGAAAATGCCTATAAATATATATAATTGTGTATATACTACAAATACATGTATATGTACCAACACATATGTTCAAGTATACACTATAGTATATCCAACACATAGAGGGTTACATACATGCTTATATAAGTGTAAACACACCCTACAAAACCAGAAATTTCCTTTAATATAATTGGCACAAACATTTTTTAATCAACATCAGACCCAAATATTTACCTTCTCTTTTAACTAGTTGGCTTTTTATGAACTTTAATCATGCAGAATATTAAATTATTCTGATTAAAGTTCATGAAATAATTAATTACCAGAAAATTATTTATTCAGAATATTAAATTATTAAGATAATTTTGTCTTATGAGATACTGAAAAACATAATTGTGAATTTAAATTTTAAATTTGATTTTAAAAATAGATACATTCACACATTGCATTATTTTAGTTCATCACATAATACATTCACATACTTTTTAATTTTAATTTTTTTACTCTTTTTCTAGAAATGTGATGTTATGTTTTATATTATTTTTAGTTCTAAAATTAATTTAAAATATAATAAAAAATTTCAGTACATTACCTGAGAGTAAGGATTAGAGAATCTATGTATAAAAGATCATATAAAATAAAGCAAAAAAGTAATTTATATAAAATATATAATTTTCTTTATTCTTCTCTTTATTTTAAATAAAAAAAAGTCACTGATTTAAAATAAACATTTAAAAAACTAAAGTATGCAGAATGTATTAATACCAGAACATATTAGGATTGTACATATATTAACTAATTTTTTATGAATAAGGGCAGTGCAGTGTACATAAATTACCAAGGGCTATGGTTTAGGCATGAATGTATGTTTACTCATAGTATTAAAATAATATCATACCATGTGACTGAATTTCTAAATGAAGCAATCGCAAGCAGTGAAGTACCAATAATAAAAAAAAACTTCTTTGCTGCTGTTAGTAGTTGCAATTTTGTCTAAATTACACAAATAGTTATATCAAACATATATATATATATATATATATATATATATATATATATATATATATATATATATATATATATATATATATATATATATATATATATATATATATATATGTATTTTAATTAAGTTATTTACTTCAGATGGAGTCTTGCTTGTTTTTGGTCTTGCCCAATCAGGAAGTTCCTGTTCAGAGACACAGTGTAAATTCTCCATTATTTAAATTCAAAGTACCATATATTCTTTATATGCTAAATACATATATATATATTATATGCTGATTACAGCTAAGCTAAGAAATGTGAGTAAAAAGTATTTCAAAAATCTTATTAAATAAACATTTAATATGAAAAATCAAACTTTCTTGAATAACTCTGCAACAAATCAAGTTAAAATTTTTCAAATTTTCATATATATATATATATATATATATATATATATATATATATATATATATATATACATATATATAATTTTTTCTTCTAATTTAATAGACTTTATTGCAGTGATTTCATGGGGAAGTTACAAAATTAGAACAATCAAAATTACCCAAAATGCTTTGAAAACAATAAAAATAAAGTTATTGTTGTATTTATTAATTTTTGTATTTATTAATTTAGTTTGTATTATATATTGTAACACAAAGTATATATGAATTTAAAAGTATTTCATAATCAGGACTAGAAATAAGTCTTTAGTTAAGCCTGAATTAAACTCAGTTTTTAAATAGCCCCTGCTCTTTCCTGCCCTCTCCCCCTCCCTACCTATTTACTTTCTAACATTTACATTTTTTCCCAGAACTTGGAAAAAAAATCTAATTTAACACTTCTCCTTTCATGGTGTGTCTAGTTTTATCACTGACGTATGAAGTGCCTTTATGCCCAAACACACCACTAAACAAACACATATAAAAACTGAAATATAGTTTTTAATGTTTTCCAGGGATGCGGGGTCCCAAAAAGAACTCCGGATTTGAAAGTCACAAAAAGATTACTTCTTTCTAGTTTTTGGTATCCAGGAGCTTTAAAAATATAAAAAAGCTTATGGGCTATTAATGAAAAATAAATCAAGACTTAAGGTCAGAAGAACAATTAATTTTTGAACCTGGAGTCTTTAGGTATAATGGCAATAATGACTCTGGGACTACAGGACTCGGGGCTTAAAAACAATAAGTTCCAAGTTATTGAATATCATATTTTTTTTTTTTATAGCAGATCATTAATCAACCAACATGGAGCTTCTGGACACCAGAGTCCATAAAAAAATAAAGTTGTATAGCTGGAGTCATTTTGGGACTCCACATCCCTTATGTTTTCATACAAAACTTATTAGTAGCCTATTAGGTAAAACTGAAAAAGACTTTTAGTCTAATTTAGCTAATATTTAATATCATGGCTATAAATTTTATAATATTTTTCCAATACATTCACTATTCCATCCTTCCCCATTAATTTAACTTATTTGATTATCATTTTCAAATTTAAATTACAACTTTTACCAAATTATAAGAGTTATTTGACTTATCAACACAATGCACAAGTTAATTGTGTAATAAAAAAAAAGAATTATGTAATAAACAATCAATATAAGCATTGAATCTTTTAAATCATTTTTTCTAAAAAGCTTAGACCAAAGTGGTATACTTCTATTGGAGGTGCTTTAGGTCTCCATTAAGTATAAGTTTGTGAGTACCACCAAAATGCTAAACTTTTAACATTACAAATACCAGATATTTCAGACTATAAAGTAGTCTAAAATATCTGGTATTTGACATTAATTGTATGTACTAGTTGTATTTGACTTAACAAATTGACATTAGTTGTATGTATTAGTTTTATGTGACTTAACAAATTAAGACTGTATGCTGTACAGTTGCAATAACTGCCCAGATACCAATACACTAAAAGAGTATCTTATTGTTTTGTTTAATAAACACAGCATGAAAGATATCACCTTTAATCAGTAGCAAAATACCAACAAAAAACATGATATAATTCCAGTTACTCTTCCGAATTATGATTTTATTAATAAAGCTTGTCAACAAATAGACCAATTAAGAGACCATCATTATATAGCCAAAAATCAAGCAGTATATTTGCAGCATCTAAAAATACCATTACCAAGTAATCATATTTTACATAAAATGTAAAAATGTTTGTATCATTTCAGATCATTTGCAACAAAATACAATTTCAGCAACATATCTAACTTATATCACTATGAACTAGATCATAAAGTTGCAGATTGGCATTTTTTCGCTACATCACATGGAGAGAATGCTTGCCATGGCGTTGGGGGCTCTGTCAAAAGACTTGTAGCTAAGGCCAGTTTACAATCACTAACAGATCCTATCAATTCACCTGAAAAAATGTATGATTGGTGTAGACAAAATATCAAAGGAACATATTTTCAATACATTTCAAATGATCCGATTGTATTACATTGCAAAAAGTTTAAATTAGAAGAATGTTATGCTGCTTGTTCAACAATTCCAGGAACAAAAACCACCATTGTTTTACTGTTTTATACCAAGTTATAAGAGTTGGTTGACTTTTCAACACAATGCACATGTTTATTATGTAATTATGATGTAATAAACAATCAATTTAAACATTGAATCTTTTAAATAAATTTTTGCAAAAAACCTGTTTAAATCAAAAAAAAAATTTTTTTGAAATTTTCTTGAAATTTTAATGAAAACATTTAATAACTAAATTTCAGTTTTTATTTATGTTTGTTTAGTGGCGTGTTTGGGCATAAAGGCACTTCATACGCCAGACATAAAACCAGACACGCCATGCAGGAAGAAGTGTTTGATTAGATTTTTTCTCTAAGTTCTAGGAAAAATGTGAAAATTAAAAAGTAAATGGATGGGGGAGGGGGCAGAAAAGAGCAAAGGCTATTTAAAAACTGAATTTAATTCAGGCTTAATTAAAGATTTATTTCTAGTAATAGACTAATTTTTTACTGAATTGTATATTATCAGTAAATTTCTAAAAATTTAGAAGCTTACCTTATATAGAAACTAAAAAAATATTTCTTTTCACTTCTTAAACTGCAGGTTTTGTATATTGACTCATCAAAAATCAACTTTTTAAACTTGCACACAACTTTTCGGTTTTTTAGGTAGCCATTATGGAAAAAATGTGACATTCAAGAATTCAATATCAAAGTTTTATTAAAATAAATCTAGAGTTGTATACAATAAAACAAAAACTAGAAGGTTTTCTGGAATTTTGTTTTTAAAATATTGAGCTTCAAAGTATGAACAAAACATGTTTTTGCTACTGAAGCTTTTATTTTTGGAAAAATCAGAAATTTCAAATGACCATATCTCATGAACCACAAAAGATTTTATGCTGAAACTTTCAGGAATTGCTTTTCTCATTGGTAATAAAAAACCCACTAAGTTTCATCTGAGGGGTCCATGTTGGACCATGGTCCAGTTAGCATGGAATGACTCACAAATTAAAAACAAAAAATACATTTTTTTTCTTTAAAAAAGTTTATACACAGCTGTGTTTATTGAATTTTACATAAAAATAAAATATTAAACTTTAAACAAGTAAACTTTATTAAGACTTGATAGATGAGAAGACACTAGTTTATAATAGATTTAAAATTGTACAGCAAGACTAGTATTTAAAAACCGATATAAAATATCAATTAAATGACCTACAATTAAAAAATTAGCATTTTTTTTTAATAACGCACACATTTTTATTTTGTTCTAATGTTAACTCACCCTGCCTAAGGCCTAGAACACCACTACAGTTGAGGAGACTACTATAATTGTGAGTTTAACACTCTCTCAACTCTATAACTCTATAACAATGCTACTGTGTTGAAACAACACAGTAGCATTGTTATAGAGTTAACAAAGAAAAAAAAAAGAAAACTAAAGAAAGTTAATGATAAAAAATTAAAACTAAATTTTTTTTAGAAATGAAGATAAACTATTTTGAAGTTTTAACTTTTTAAATTCATTCAAAATGCACACAAGACTTCAATTCCATTCACTGATGCACTGATGTGTAATTGAATACTTACCATACCTCAAAGTTTTATAGGGAGGTACATTTAGTTTTCCATTATTGATGTTTCTAGTTAAATGTGAATGTATAAATCGAGTTTCAGTGAATAAGGTTGAAATAGAGTAAGGTAAATTTAAGGGAGTCAAAAACAAAAAGAAGATCAGCAAATTTAACTAGTGCTGACAAGGTAGGAATTTTAAGTTTTTTGAAGAATTTTGAAGTTTCTGTATTAGTTGAGTTGAAAATTAATTATTCGGATTGATTGGGACTGAGCTGATAACAATTTATTAATATTACAATTGCCATTTGATCTCCAATGAGATGAGATTGAAAAATTAAAAAAATACAGATTCTTAAGGGTAGCTTTATCAACATAATGGCAAATTTTTGAAAGCATTCCATCTATATGAAAATTCCATGAGAGGTTCGAATCTATAAAAATACCAAGATATTTAACGTGTGTTGGATATAAACATCTATTATTAATTTTAATTTTAGTTATATAATTGCTGTATAAAATTTTTTGTCTTGGAGATAAAAAAAAATATTAGATTAGTTTTTTTTAAGTTCAAATATAAAATAAAAACAATCAAGGGCCAAAAATAAAACCCTGGGGAACACCACAAACTATGTGTTTGTTATTTGATTTTTTTTTTTAAACATCTTTGCTTCTAACAAGGCTGCAAGCAACCACTGATTAGTGTTGGAAGTTACTGGAAGAGAAAAGATCAAGATTGTAGAGCAAGATAATGATTGTCAGACGACTTGAAAAATTGCAAATTATATGAATCAGGAAAGCAAGATGAAGGAAGCAAATTTCAAAGAACTGATGTTCGAGGAAAAAAACTAGAGGAATAAGAGTTTTTAAAGCACTTGACAATCACAGAAAAAAGATGAGACTTAATTGAATGACGAGTAACACGAGAATGAAGATGTAGATGACACAAGAGACGCTAGCTCTTTAGAGCAGTGCCCATTATAGTATTTGTAGAAAAGAGAAAGAGAAGCAACATTACAATTTAAAGGAAACAAAATTTTAAACTTTTTCACCAAAAATTTAAAACTTTTATTTTATAATAACTTGTTGCACAGATGAGCGTTTTGCCTCATAATATATATATATATATATATATATATATATATATATATATATATATATATATATATATATATATACATATATATATATATATATATATATATATGTATGTATGTATATATATATACATATATATATATATATATATATATATATATATATATATATATATATATATATATATATATATATATATATATATATATATATATATATATATATATATATATATATATGTTAATTCACCTCCACAAGGTCGAGAACAGATGAGGAGGTTACTTAATTGTGGTTATAACCTTATCTCAATTTTATAACTCTGAAATACAAACCTTGTCAGACAAAGCCGATGCACGGAGAAATAAGTTATATATATAAACACAGTAGAAGTGGATAAACTTATGTATTTATTTATATTGTATATATATACATACATACATACATTAGGGTGGTCCTTAAAACAACTTTTGTTAGAAATATCTGCTCAACCACTCAAAATGTGTTCTATATAATAAAATATTATTAGAATTATAAAAATTTTTGAGAAAAAAATATTTTTAGGGATGACTCAAGACCCTTAAACATCGATAGGTCACTATCATGTTGGGTTTCAAAAGAAGCAAAATTATGTAAAAACCTCAAATTAATCATCATTTTATAATAAAAAATTAAACAAAATTTTTTGGTAAAAATGTATTTTTAAATATATTTTTTTTTCTTTTTTTAAACCAGTAAAATTTAAAATAATAATTTTTTTATAAAATGATAATTATTTTTGAAGTTTTTATATAACTTTGCTTCTTTTGAGACCCAACACAATATACTTTTGAAGAACTATTTTTTTGATAATTATAGGGACGCGTTTAATGTTTAAGGGTCTTAAGATAGCTCCTAAAATTTTTTATTTCTAGTATTATTTTAATATATAGAACACATTTTGAGTGGTTGAACAGACATTTTTAGAAGTTGTTTTAAGGACCACCCTAACATATATATGTACGTACATACATACATAACAATAAATTTTTGAAGGGCGCTAATTTACATCTCTACCCCCCTATTTTTATTTTTGATTATGATAGAGAATTTCATCCTGATTAAGAATCGTTTAAAAACATAGATCTGAAAATTAACAGAAAGTGCTCTAATTTGATTTTGAAGTTTAAAAAATTACACTAAAAAACGCTAATATTCGCCATTTTTTCATACTCAATTATAATTAAAATCCTTTCATAAGATGACTTTAAAAAAGCCTGGTTTCTATCAACAATTTAAAGCAAAACTGTTAAAAAATGCGTACCTTATCATTTTCTTATTGATTTCTGGCCCAAACCCTAGACCCTGTCCCAAATCATGTACCTTTAATTGCACCAATCCCTATTTGTCAGTCGATGTATGTACATTCAATTACGCCAATCCCTATTTTTCAGTTGATACATGTACATTTAATTGTGCCAATCCATTTGTCAGTCGATTTATGCACTTTTAAAAAGCAATATCTTAAATTAATTTTTGAAAATTTAATAAAAAACATATTCATAAAAAATTTATTTAAATTTAAATATAATTTAATTTTGGCAACAATAAAAACCGGGTTGCATAATTAAAAAAAGATTTTCTAAATGATGGATTTCTAAATGTAAACTTTGATATAAAACGTTTTTAAAAAATGGCGAATTTTTAGTGTAATTTTTTAAACTTCAAAATCGAATTAGAGCACTTTCTGTTAATTTTCAGATTTATGTTTTTAAACGATTCTTAATCAGGATGAAATTCTCTATCATAATCAAAAATAAAAATAGGGGGGTAGAGATGTAAATTAGCGCCTCTTTGAAGTATATTGTTTTAACAATAAACTACAAAAAAGAGATTTTTATTAGAAGAATTAATTCCAAAATTGTTAGAAATTTTGCTTAAAAAACACTGTAACTTTTAACTGATAAGAGGTGGAATAATCTTTTAACTGAAAACAAATTTGAACTAAAATAAATAAAAAATAAAAAAATGTTAATCCTAATTAAAGTAAAAATCAAGCTAATATCTAGAATTATTAACAATGACTTTTACCTTAAAAAAATATATATATTTAAAATTTTATTTAGAAATTTTTTCTTACATATATGTAGGTAGGATTTTATAATAGCAGGTCAATAAACCTCGTCAGTTCTGAATGTTTTGTTAAATTTTTATATGCCTAAAAATATTTTGAATTAAAGTTTTTATGAAGTATTAACTTATGTTACTTAATGAATATATATAAATAAATATATATATATATATATATATATATATATATATATATATATATATATATATATATATATATATATATATATATATATATATATATATATAATATATATATATATATGTATGTATAATATATACATAAATATATATATATATATATATATATATATATATATATATATATATATATATATATATATATATATATATATATATATATATATATATATATATATATATATATATATATATATATATATATAGTATATATATATATATATATATATATATATATATATATATATATATATATATATATATATATATATATATATATATATATATTAAAATACACATATCAATAATCAGCGTCTCCTTTCCCTTCATCCTCGTGACCACATTTTATGTATAATGACAAATTACATACCGTGTTGCTGACATACGTGCGTAATGTGCAAAGAAAACATAAAAGGTAAAATAAAAAAAAACAAACAATAAAGATAAATTAATTTAATAACTTGTTTAAAATCACACTGAATCTTGCACATTAACTTCTGTGATCAAAAATAATGTCAAATTTAACACAAGATAAGTTTAAACGAGAATGATAGAAGTAATAACAGATAAATTGTCTATATGTATGTTATATGTTACAATTAAAAAAATATTTTGTGTGCGCATGACTACTTTGTGATATTTTGTTTACTACATATTTAGCCACTATCCGAGACATTGCAATATGTGTTTTGAAAGTGTGACTGTTAAAATTTCAATATTTAATTTAGGGGGCCTAATAACTAAAAAAGTATATATTTAAAAAAATTTAGTAAATAAAAGATAAAATTTTGTTTTCAACTTTTAAAATAATAATATAATATTTTTAATTCCTTTTTTTTTGCTATTGTAAATACAATTTATATAAAAATATATATTTCCAAACAACATATTTTTTACCGAACATTACATCGCTAACAGATTTAAAATCAAATTGATTGGTTTAACTGTAATAATGCTTTTCCGTAAACATAAAAAGTCTAATTTATTCACGGAGGCAAAATAATAACTTATATAGTTTTCTTTACTACAAAATGTACCCCCCGGATGTTTTTAAAGTACTTAAAAAATTAAAAATTCACTCCTTCATAACAAAATAAACCCACCGTCCTGGTTGCCCATCCCAATCAAGATAGGTTTACTTAAACATTAAAGTACGAGTTATAGTTATTTCTGCACTGTTTTCCGATAAACAACATCCATCAACATGCAAGCTGTTCGAAATAAAATGGCCACCCTCAAGGCCAAACTTGAGGAGGCTGAAAAAGCTGCATTTGATGCAGAAGAAGAACTAAAAGCTACTAATGAAAAAGCAGACCAAGCAGAAGAACGCGTAAGTTTTATATTACCTAAAAAAATACCACTTATCTTACCTCATTACTTAAATTATTAATTTCTCGGTTATCTATTCAAAAGTTTATAAAAAGTATTTCCTCAGAAAATTTAATCGATATTTATTAATCAAACAAAAATTAAATCAAAACAAAACGGTGAATTTTTAAAAGTTTTTACAAATCGCAAAAAAATTTCTTAACAAATTCTTTATTTAAATGTTTGTTTTAAATATTTTCGTTTTCGATATTTTAATATAAAATTTCAATACTGAAAATTAAACAAATTTCAATATTTAACAAAAAATTTTGTTTTATAAGAATTAGAGTAAAGTATGCATTATATCTCTAGCAATAACAGCTTTCTAAAAATATTTTTATATTTAGCATGTTTTAAAATGTTTAATTACTTATGTTTATCTTAAGCATATTAAAAAGTTTAAAATTTTTTAACATTTTATAAATAAACAATTTTTTAAGTTAATTTTTTTGTAGAATTTTTGTTGCTTCTGAAAATATGATAAAATAAAATACTAATCAGAGCTCATTGTCACAATTTTTAGAAGTGTTTTTAGGAACTAGAACAATCAGAACAATTTTTATATTAGCTATAATTAAATCGCTTAAAAACAATCATTAAATTTTTTTACGCAGGTAACGGAACTTACGAAGGAGCTAAATGATCTTGAAGATCAACTAGACGCAAGCGAGTCAAAAATGACAAGCCTTCAAGAAAAACTTGCAGAAGCAGAAAAACTCCATGAAGAACACGATCAAGCACGAAGAATACTTGAAAATAGAGGAAGAAGCGACGGTGGACGTATTAGCCGACTACAAGATGAATTAGACGAGCTAACAAACCTTAACAACAAAGTTGTTGAAACTTTTAATGAACTTACTCAGATTTTAGCCGAAGCAGATGAGAAGCTTGACCAAGAAGAAGAAAGACGCGATATTGCAGATGCTAAAGTTAAACTACTCGAAGTTGAAGTAACACAAGTCGGCAATACACTTAGAAGTATGGAAATCAACGAAGGTCAAGCTTCCGTTAGAACAGAATGCGGAGATACAAAAATTTCAGAAATGGAGGCGAAATATCAAGAAATGGAAGCAAGAGCTGCAGAATTTGAAGAAAAGGCTAAGCGGCTTGAACGACGTCAAGAAGAGCTGGACGAAGAACTACAGCTGGAAAAAGACAAATTTAACCAAACCAAAACAGAATTCGACGCATTATGCGCACATATCAACGAAATGTAGATGGGGTGCGGTTTTATCTAATTTTTTTATCGCTTTTCTATTATTAACATTTAGTTTTCATTGAATTTGTACATAATTTTTTTTTAATAACTGTGTATTATTTTATTTAGTAAAATAATAAAAAAGTTACAATAAAAAAAAAAAAAAAAATTTTTTAAAGTTAGACTTTTTATACGAAATACATAACATTTCAATTTTCTTTGGTTACAACAATAAACGTTTTGTCTAATAAACAAACGAAGCGTGTTTGGTAGACTCTGATTTAAAAACAATTGATTATTTATTACTTTTTGTGATATCAATTATTTACGTCGCGAATCATAGATTTGAGTCTGAACGATAACGTAACTTCATTAACAATAGAATACATTTTTATTGGAGATTAACGCTCTATTATTTATCGACTTTTTAAGTAAAATAACATTCCATTATCTTTTATCACTTAAGCTGTTTTTAGAATTTTGTAATTACTATGCTAAAATTTTCTATTGTAATGGTAATAAGTGATTTAAATGTAAACTTTTTTTAATTTCAAAGTCAACGCAATAAATTAATAAACGGATTAGTTAAATAAAAATAATTACTATGACTCTTACAATAGCCTAATATTTAGTAAAAAAATTTGTCTTGAGGACTTGACGACCGCCTAACTTATATTTAATGGAGTTTAAGCAAACATTTTCTCATTTCACCACCATAAGTTAGTTATTTAAAAGGCTATTATTTGTTAGTTAAATAAGGGTTTGTCCATAAATTACGTCAATGCCCCCCCTCCTCGTCACAACATCGTAACTTGAATTACGAGTCGTCACAAAAACACTAACCTCTCCCTTATAAGGTGACGTAGTTTAAGAACGGCTCCTAAAAATAACTTAATTGTGCAACTAGTTGAGAGTACTCACAAAAGTTATGTTATTTAATAAAAATTTAAAGAATTACTTTATAGAGTGGGCAAATGTTTTTCAATAGCAGACTTTTTTTATTTAGAGAGTTGATATCATTTTCTACTGCTGTTACAATTATTATATATTATGTTTATATATTATATATCAGATTAAATGTAACTATTTAGTCTAAAAGAGATCCGTGAACCTGAAAATTTAATAAATTTTTAGTACGATTTTTCCAAATTAAATAAAATAATGGTTGAGATAATTACTTTTTGCTTAAGTATTGTCCTTAAATATACAATTTTATTTTTTATTTTTTTGTGACTATTTTTACGTTATTTTGAGTTTTTGAGTTCCATTAAAAAGAGCTCATCTTAGAAAACTGGTTTCCTGGGATGTGATGATTGGTTGTGTTGAAAATAACACAATTTTTGGTATAAAGATTTTTTTTTAAATGAACTATTCATTTACATTCTTTAAGAGGAAAGATTAAATTATGAAAATCTGCAAAAATTGGTATAAATATTTTAATATTTCGGCTACAAAAAAACAATAAACTATTAACATGCTTAACATACGCAATCTTCCCCTACATGTTGAATAAAGAAATCTTGTCTGCTGCATTGTTATTACCAGGGCAAGTATATCTTTTGAAATTAACGCGTAAGTTTTGTTACATAAATCTTAAAAAGTTTGCGTAAAAGGTTTCGATAAGTATTAAAATAATTATAGTCCTAAAATTATTTATGGTAATGTTTAAAAAGCATAAGTAAAAACCAGGATGCGCGATTCAAAAAATGAAAGAAAAAACTTTCTTTAAGATTTTTTTTAAGGTAAAGTGATGCCAATAATTTTTCAATCAAATAATTAAAAATACTAGTGAAAAATCATTCGAACTTTCAGAATAAAAAAATAAACCAGAAGTGATCAGGTAGAAGTCTGAAGTGATAACTGAATGACAGTGAATGTGATTAGGAAAAGTGATAAATGGATTAAAAACATGGATCTTCCCAAAAGAATGTTGATGTCACTTTGGACTCCATTACTCTAGGTAGTGAAATATTAGCTCAGAATGAAATTGAAGTACTTTCTACTAACCCTGCTGATAGATACGTCAAATTAATGGCCTGATTGAGTTCATCACAACAAATCAGCAAAATAGAGACGTCAACGCCACTGATTTTTCAAGGTCTGAAACCCGTGACAATGCTGAAACTTTGCGACGTGCCTTAAAAGAGTTATTTGTTCAAATAATTGTAAATGGAGAAAAGAAAAAACGCGATTGGCTGGTATATTATGCTAAAAGTAGTAGTATTTAATGCAAACCTTTAATGTAAAAGCTTCTTTTTCGGAAAAACTAAGGGTTCTTTAGCAAGTAACGATGGATTTACAACTGGAAAGTTGCTCATAAGGCAATTAGTGAGCTGCTGAACATAATAATTTAATCTTTATCTGTATTATTCGTAATACAGATAAAGTTATAAGTAAATGAAGTTCTTGGATTAACCGCGAATTCTTTAAACAGTTTCAGTGCGAAAAAGAATAATAGAGAAATGTGTTGCGCGGGGTAGTATAATGTTATAATGAAAATTTTCTTGTCTCATTAGAGTTGCTAGCTGAATACAATCCGTTTTTAGCTAAATTTATAAACATTCAAAGTTTATTATTTGATATACTTTAAAGTTGCTTTAAAAAAAGCACTTGGCAAGTTTGAAATAATATTTGTTATATTGTCTAGTTTCTTTCCTACAGTTATTGAACTTAAAGCTGATAAATATTTTACAATTATTGTTGATTTAACTTCAGACGTTTCGTTGATCAACTCATTTTTGTTGCAATGCCTGATGGGAAAGTGAGTGAACGTTTTTTATCATTCGCTCCAATGAGAGGTCACGGAGCAGCAGATATGCTTCTTTTCGTCAAAAAGATAGAGATGAACGGCATCAACATCAGTGGTTGCCGAGGGTAGTTGTATGATAACGCATCCAATATGAATTAGGTTTACACTGGGTTGCAAGCCCGTATCAAGGAGTTAAATCCACTAAATGAAAACGAAAAAGTGTACACAAAAGCTAACACGACGGACCGATTTCTATTGAGGCATAAAACATTGATGGAGGAGGAAAAATAATGACTGAGTTTAATAACATCATGTATTTACTTTTAGCTGAGCTTGATAGGTAATGGGTCATGCTCTAATTATCTTTCGTTTTAGATTTCTTGTCCGTCTTTCATATATGGATGCTGTTGCAATAACATCGCAGACCCAAGGACTTTTAAAAAGCTACCCAAAAGATGCGGACATTTATTTTCCAAATGAATGTCTGCATTTCAATTGAAATTGGTACCGGTGAAACTAAAAAACTAAATCATTTAGGTTTACTTTCAATTATTTGATCAAGGAAACTTGTATCCACATTTTCTAATGCCGACGTTGTTCTAAGGATGTTTTCTGATGCTGAAAAATTGCTACAGGAGTAATAGTAGACAGAAACACTTGTCAGCTCTAGCCGTTCTTCAAATTAAAGCTATCAATCAAAAAGATATCTACGTACAAGATGTGATTGATGATTTTGTTGATTTAAAAAGCCGCCGCAAAATATGAAAATAATTTATCAACTTATGTGTGTAAAAATGCGACGTAGATAAAAAAATAAGTATACTTTAGAAATGTTTCATTTTGCCCTGCTGAAGTGTTTTAATTATATGAAGAAAAAACAAAGATCAGATTATCCAATGCTTAATCTTTGGATTAACTTATTAAAATTACCACATTTACTTGTTGGTTTATGATTTTATGAGAGTATTTATTATGCAAAGCATATAAAAAAATGTTAAAGTACGAATTTTTTTGTGAGAGTGGGAGGGGGAAGGGTAGAGATATAACTACATATATTTAGCACATATGCATATATATATATATATATATATATATATATATATATATATATATATATATATATATATATATATATATATATATATATATATATATATATATATATATATATATATATTAACTATACGTCAATGCGTTCCATATATCAGCTATTGGCTTCGATATTTATTTCTAAAACAACATTTTTCTTAGTTTTATAATTTATTTGTAGCCGTTGGATCTACATATATAAATAAAAAAAAAGAAACAGTAAAATTTTTAAATTTATAAAAATATGACAAAAACTTTAAACAGGATAAAATATGTATAAGTCTAACCGTTATTGTTAATAAAAAATATATACAATGAACGAAATCTTTTTATTTCTGTGATAGTGACGTGAGGATTTTTTCAAAACATATTTTTTACAATAATTTTGAAATTTTTCTATTGTTATAAAATACGAATAAAAAGTTATTTTTATTTTAGAAAAATATTATTTATATATATATATAAAAAGATAGAGCTAAGAATTTATCAATTACAATAAAGCTAAAAAAGTTGAAAAATTATTTCGTGCGATCGCCGAATGTGTTTAAATATTCTTGCACAACCAAGTAGATGAATCTATATTGATCCTAAACAAATTTATGTTATGTGCTTATAAAATGTTAAAAATTACAATTGCAACTTTTTCTTAAAAGAGATTTCTATTTACAAAACCATTTTGCTGTAACTTCTACAAAATAAATTTACGAATTAAACAAATATTTTTTTTCTTAAGATACAGGTTTTTTAACGACGTAAAAATGACGACGTAAATAAGATTTTTACGACATTTAAATAACTGACTTTATAAAAGGTTCTTACCATATACTTTACGAGATGTGGACGATGCATTCTCATTCTTTTTACTGCTTGAAATACATCAACTACTTGCTCTATTTTCAGTTGCTCCAATGTGTACAGTATAGCTGCCAGAGTACCACTGCGACCAACACCATCACTACATAAAATAATGATGGGACTGTCCTTACTCTGTTGTATCCATTTCTGAATAATAACCAGAAGACTGATCATTGTTTTGTAATTTGTTGGAACTCGAGTCTCTGTCCAACCGGTATACTGCAACAATTTTACGGTTAACAACATGTTGGATTGCTTAAAAAAATAGAAATAAAATTTGATGTAGAAAATTGTTTGTCTAAAAAAATATACTATTAAACAATTTGAGTAAAATCATATCAAAATAGCACTTTTTTTTAATATAAATTTAAAATCTACTTTAGCTAATTTTTCCGGCTTTTATCTAATATGATTTTTCCAGTAAAATTGTCAAATGGTTTTCATCATGTAGATTTTTAATTTTTTAATAAAAATGTATATAAAATATACATTTTTATCAAAAAAATAACATAATAAATTTAAATTATAATCAGGTCGAAATTTAAAATAATTTGAAAATATAAATGATTGCCTTCGTAATCAAAAAATACGAAATTAAGTACATATTAAAAACAAAATTAAAAAATGGTGCTGCGCAAAATGATAATTTCTATACTATGAAACTTACCCTAACGTCTGACACTTTGAAGTTTCTAACATTCAACTCAACAGGTAGTTTTAAAACGCCATTTAAATTTATATCATCACTTTTAGAAGATTCAAGACTTGCTACAGTGATCTTTCCATAGTTAAAAGAACCTTTTTCTGGCCAGAAAGTTGCATAGTCCTAATAAAAGTTAATTTAAATTAAAAAAAAAAAAGGTAAAGTAAATACACGTAAACAAACAAAATTAAAAAAACTCACATCACCCTCATCAAGAGTATTTAGCATAACTATGGTTGATGAACCGTGTTCACAAACCATCCTCCAAAAATCTGCTACTGTTTTTGGTAATGGACATTGTGAAAGTATATAAGCATTTTTTTGCTTGTAACTATCTATATACACTGCATTAATATATGTGGTTTCTTCACTTCCATCAATTGGCAACAGCAAAACTCGACTACTATCTGTGGGAAGGATTGTTGAAAATCTATTTTTAGAGTTGTTTTGTAACGCCATTGCTACTTCAGACGCGGGTTGAATTGGATTACCATGATTTAAAATCTAAAAAAAATATTGAAAAAGATGACCTTCTTAAAAGACTCTCTTTAATAGCTTTAAAGATGAATTATAATATTTAAAAAGATAACTCCCACAAGTAAAAAGCCATTTAAAAAGATGACTCTCACAAGCAAAAAGCCATTTAAAAAGATGACTCTCACAAGCAAAATCGCTTTGAATTTATTATTGTGAACATAAGTTTATAATAACCAAATCAAATACCTTCCATTGTTTTTCAAAACCAGATACTTTAGAATCATTATCTATTTGATTAAGCTTTTTAATAGTGTTTCTAAGTGATGCAATTGATACGGCTGTATCTGCAGATAATATTTCTTCAACAATAGCGTCATGTAGAAATATGTATTGGTCCTAAAAAGAATTAAAAAAAAATCAATTATGACATTAGGATACCATCCAAATTAATTTAAACTGATTTTATATATTCTATCTTCAATAGCATGGGTTCTTTTTAATTGATACATGAGTCCAAGCAAATTTCTTTAATTTACAGAAATTTGCTTTCTTCTTTAAATTCAGACAACTTTTGCTACTTCATAACTGTACCCACACAATTGCTACAGTGTGAATAAAGTTATTTTCAAATCTAAAGCATTTATTCTGTCGGTAGAAGCTTTGAAAATTATTGAATAATAAATAAGATACTTACAAATAATTTATACAAATATTAGTTATATATGAATATATATTGAAAAACATTAAGATTTTTAAGAAAAAAGAGATTTTATATAAAAAGTTTTGATAAAAAACCTCAGTTTGCACCATTGCAATTCTTCTCATTCTCATAGCTGTTATGAAATTAAATGTGTCTACAGTTCCTTCTTCTTTTAATCTGTCTAACATTGCATCTAGAGCAATATAAACACCTGTCCTTCCTACTCCAGCACTTGAAAAAAAAAAAAAAAATTTACTTATGCTTATAATCGTATAAAAGAGTGAGCATAAAACAAAATCAAATGTAAAATTAAAAAACCTACTCCCCAAAAACTACAACCTAAGACCCACATCATACAATAAACATCCTAAAACATTGCACCCTAGAACCTACACCTCATAACCACACCCTAGAACCTACATTATAGAACTTAAACCCTACGTTCTGTAACATTTAGCATAGAAAATAAGACCTAATTAATCATACCTTTAAACAAATTTGAAAATTAAAAATTACTAAAACATGTTTTTATATTATAAATTTAAAAATTACTGAAATATATTTATTTTCATTTATTTTATAAATTTATTTTTATTTATTTTATATATTTATTTTTATGTTAGTATAGTTTATGAAACCTATTCTCATTTATTTGAATAAAAATTTTTTGAGACAATTCATATTACCATTGAATTTAATGCAAAAAGTTTTTTCTCATTCATGTGTCTATGAAGACACAAGTATTATTTAAATATTCTGCATATTTTATTTCTATAAAAACAAAATTTTAACTGTTAAAGTAATTCTGTCAGAAAATAAAAAAAAAAATATATAAATAAATTAACAAACTCATTTTTCAGTGGCCGGCAGCATGTCCATTTTTTGTTTTTTTTTCTTGTAATTTTTAAGTATTAACACACAAAGACATTCAGTCAGGAAATGATAATGTTTATTTAAATATTTCTTAAAGATCTGTTACTCTTGTGACTAAAATTAGCAGAGACACACCCTACTGACTTGTGACTAAAATTAGTAGAGACATACCCTACTGACTTACAAACATTTATTAATAATAAACAAACAAAAATTACAAAATTCATCTAAGATTACAACAAACACAAACAAAAATTAGATTTAAAAAAAATACTCACGAACAATGAACAATAATTGGGCCACTTTTAGGTTTCTCATATGATCGAACTTTCCTCCAAAATGATAATAAAGCAGTTGGTTGGGTAGGAACGCCATGATCTGGCCAGGAAGTAAAATGAAACTGTTTAACCTCACGAAACTCTTGTGCAAAGTTCTGTTTTATAAAAACATTTTTTAAAACCATTTTAAAATTAAAATAATTAATATGAAACTAAAAACTTCAGTATTATATATAAAAGTAGATATAATATTGTGTTACTAAATAGTTAGCTATTCTATTACTAATAAATAAAGTTTTGTAAAAAATAGAACAATTATGTAACACATTTCAGAAAGTTGGTTTACGGTAGTAATAAACAATATTTTATATTCGTTCAACATTTGTCATAATTAAATGATAAATAACATACACAAAAATTATTATCATCAAAAAGAACATGTTCAAAATTAATTTTGAATTTTACCTTGTGCGCAATTTTGAATGATCTTATTGTATAATCAGCAAATATTTCTTCAGCCAGTAAATTAACAATTACTTGCCCATATTCGTTGCTAGCATCAGGCCAGTACTTGTGACATTTAAGCTAATGTTATAATAAATTGTATATGAAAAAACAAACAAAAAATAAACAAAAAGAAATGATGCAGAAAAAGTATGAAAAATAATAACTTTGTTTTTCTCTTGCAGATTTGTTAGCATTACAATACAAGATGAGGTTACTTCCCAAACCATTCGCCAAAAATCATTGAATGTGTTAGGCAACGGCCCTTAAAAAAATATTGAAGAGTAAATTTTATAAAATCTAATAACTGGTTATATTTAAATTAGGCTTATTTATGCATTTACAGAATAGCTCTGATTCCTGTCTGCTTATGGTTTTAGCTGTTTATGCGCATTGCTTCTTAAATTAAAAATTGAAAGAAAGAAAAAAAAATTGATCACACTTTTGATTATTTCAATATTTCATTTTATATGAAAATAAAAAGTTCAAATAAATTCATTTTTCGTTTTAAAGTAAAGTCTTAAAAAATAATTTTTAGCACAAACTTCTTTCTTTAAGGTTTTAATTTAGTGAAAATAATTTTTTGTTGTGCTTTTTATGTTAACAATAAATTTATCAAATCACACATACATCACTTTTACTTTGATGTTAAAGTATTGAAGACAGTTTTTTATGGTAGCCACAAAATTTTAAAAGTTTTATATCCATTTAATTGAATATTATCAAATAACTTTTTGTTATTTTTTTTTTGAAAAAAAATGACACTTTTTTCAAACCCGGCTCCAGCTAAATTATAAGATTTAGCAGGGGTTGATAGCCGGGGCTAGAAAAATATTTATAATAATTAATATATTATAATTTTATGTTTATATTTAAATAAAATACTGTATCATTATATTTATATTAAATACTGGCATACATTTATATATTTTTAAACTCTTAATTTACTTCCAACAAGATTTCAAGCAATCACTATTAAGTAATGAGTTACTTTAAAATAGAGAATCAGTTAAAGTAGTAAGAAACGTATTACTAAAGACATAAAAAGTTGTAAGTTGTATGAAAAAGGAAAACATGAAGTTGGGAAAGAGTTATAAGGTTTTTTTAATGTTAAAGGAAAAAAACTGGATTAATTATCATGCTGTAAAAAAATTTCATAGCATGAAGGGACAAATATAGTAAAAGGGTCAGGGTTGGCAAATTCCCGGGTTTTTTTAAAAAAAACCCAGCCCAGTGGGTTTTTTTGGGTATTTTTGGGTATTTTTATTTTTTATTTTTGTTAAATTTTTTTTTTGTTTTTTTAATAATATAGAAAACTAATGTCATTTTTAACTATTAGTTAATTTAAAATATATTTTATGTGTTTTTTAAATTTATAACAACACCTCAAATTATTTTCAATAAGTTTTTTTTAAATTACAGTATAAAAAATGATTTTAAAATGTAACAAAACAAAAAAAAATTCATGATAAACCTATATGTATTGATTTATTTTAAATTTAATAATAATATTTTTTATAATTAAAAATGCTGATGGGAAGTAGGAGAAAGATAGCTGGAGAATGGGATGAAGTGACTGAAGTTGAAAACAGTACAAAGGTTTCTTGTGACTATTGTCATACTTTGATTAGCAACAAGATAGAAGGAGTAAAACCCCATTTAAAACATTGCCAAAAAAAGTTTAAGTTTTTACACAAGCATACAGAAGACAATCTCAATTAGTCAAAATATTTTTAAAAAAATTGTGATGACGTACCAATTTTTTTTTAATGCTAAGGTTGCTTAATAGAGTTCCTATTTCTTTATTCTCAATTACATTTTTTACTAAAAGCAAGATGCACTAATATTTAAATAATAATTTAAATAATAATTTAAATATTAGTACATCTGCTCTAATAGCTGGACCATCATCTCAAGTTGAAAAAAGTTCTTTGGCATCTGTAAGTTCTATAAGTTCGTTAACACCTTGTAAGAAGCAGTGTTTGATGTCATCGTACACAATATCAACTAATATGGAACAGAAAGAAAATATTGATATAAAAATAACAAAATTTTCCTTCATTGCAAATGTATCATTTAAAACTTCTGAAAATCAAGAATTTATAGATATGATCAATTCATTGAGACCAGGATATAATCCATCTAACCGTAAAATGCTTGGAAGAGTGCTCTTAGAAAAAGTTTATGAAGAAGTAAACAAAAAAATGATGGATCAACTTACCCAAGAAGAGAAAACAATAACAATCATGCAAGACAGGTAGAGTAGTGTTACTAATGATCTCATTATTGCTCATAGTGCATATGACAGACTTAATTCTAAAATTTTATGCATTACTGATTGTGCAGCAAATAAAAAAACAGCCAAGTATTGTACCGAACTCCTTTGTAATATCATTAAAGATCTTAAAGAAACATACAACAAAGAAGTATTTGCTGTGGTAACAGATAATGAAAATAAGATAAAAAAAATGAGGGATTCAATCAAAGAAACGTATCCAAATCTTTTAACATATGGGTGTTCTGCACATTACTTAAACCTTTTAGAAAAAGAAGTAACACACCCAGATGTTATCAAACATGTGGTTGAAGTGCAGAAATAATTTCGCAACACACATCAACTGCATGTAAACATTATTTTATATTTGTGGGTTAAACTTAAAGTATAAAAAAATATATAAAAGTTTAAAATTAACTATTCAATTTTTATTTTAAAGGATAGTTGCGTGAGAAAGGAGGGTATATGCCTCAGTTACCAAAAGATATCCGATGGAACTCCCAAATTGACTGTATAGAAACATACGTAAAAAACTACCAAATTTATGTAGAAATAGTAGATAATCATGATATACCTATCAAAATCAGAAAAAATTGAAAATCGAGCAATATTTAGAGAAGCTAACAGTCTTCAAACCCAACTCAAAATATTTGGTGTTTTTTTAGATCAAGTATTTAATTTCTTTATATTAAAGTTTTTTTTACATAATAAGATTTTGTAGGTGTAAAGGAAAATTAATAAAAATTATGTTGATTAAATAAATAAAAAATTAAATTTTTTCTAGATTCAAAGTGATAGCTGTCACCTATCCAAATGTGTTGAATTGTGGCTCTAACTTCTGAACAACCCTGAACTAAGGTCATTACCACACAGCTATCAAAAAGAGATGTAACCTATCCATTATCTTGCATACATGACCAATCCTCGCTTTTGGGGTAAAAACAAGTTTTGCTTTAAAAAAAAAATTGCTTTCACACCTATATGCTAATTTGAACTTTTTTTTTTAATAGGAAAAACCTGCCGATTGAAAATGAAGATGAGGATGAAGAACGGGTTTTCAATCATTATCCTGATTTTGTACCTGGGTTGATTTTGCTTAAATTAAAGGATTGTGATGCATTTCCTAAAAGGATGTTGAGCGATCAAATTATATCAACAATATTGTGCACTGATTGGTGGTCTATCAGAAGAGAAATGAAAAATTAATTAAAAATTGCTTGAAGGATTTTGCAAATTTATTTCTAAACTTCAAATGTGCCCTTCTAGCTCAGGATCAATACAAAGAATATTTTCTTTTTTTGGTTTTATTTGGTCAAAAGTTAGAAATAAATTAGGATGTGAAAAGGCTAAAAAGCTTTTACAAATATATAGACAGTATCAAAAATAGTTGAAAAAAGAGAGTTGTATTTTCAAGAAGTATACCAAAAATGTAATTAGTCTTGTCAATGTATATTTATTCTAAAAAATCTTTTTGAATGAATCTAATTTGTTTCGTTTCCAAAATAAAATTGTGTTAAATAAAAATTTTGTGTTTAAATTGAAAATTTACCTTTATAGCTAGCTCTATAATGTATTTATGTTTTCAGAAATATTGTATAATAATAGTGTATAATAATAGTGTATATTAATAATATAATAGTTTATAAGATTATAGATGTATTTCAAAAAAAGCCAGATTGCTGGGTTTTATTGGGTTTTTTTAGGCTTGGGTTTTTTTAGGCTGTCTTGTTATTAAAAAAAATTCAAACCATTTATATCAATTTTTTTTTTTGCATAAAAATTTTAATTTTACTGCAATATTATTCGTAATTTTTAAATTTGATTTAGAAAAATAAAAATTCCAGGACATTTTTGAAAAAAATTAAATTTTTCAGCATATTTCAGGACATTTCAGGACATTTGTAAGTATGCAGGACATTTCAGGACTGTGGCCACCATGATTTTTACATAACAATATTGTTTCTTTTAACAAAAATATACATAAAAAAACGTTTCTTTTAACAAAAATCAAAATACCTTGAGTAGCAATAGCAGAGTTGGCTTTTTTATAGGTCTATAAAAAAAAAACAAATGTTCATACAAATGTTCAGAAGTATATATCTTTACATATACATCTGAACATAAATATATTATAAACACACACACATATATTTACATATAAAAACATACACACACATATGTACCACCCTTCATATATACAAAAACACATACACACATATAGACACATATATACCACCCTTCAGAATTAGGGTCGGCATTGACCTAGAACTGTTTGAGGCCAGCAAATAATCACTGACTTTGTTTCTATGGTTTGTGGTAAAATCTTTGTATCAACTTTTTTTTGCAAACCTGATGCCGACTTCTAAGATTAATGTCGGCAAATAGTTGCTGACCTCATTTTTTCTGAGGGCTGCATATAAGCACATATGTATATATATATATATATATATATATATATATATATATATATATATATATATATATATATATATATATATATATGTATATATATATATATATATATATATATATATATATATATATATATATATATATATATATATATATATATATATATATATATATATATATATATATATATATATATATATATATACACACAGTCTGTTTGACATCTACTGTCAGTGCACGAAAAAATGCTGGCCGAACAGTATTATTTGTCTAGCGTGTGCGATTTTAAAAAATATTTGTTTTTTGTACCTCTCTAATTAGAATTTAATTAAGAAAAAAGATTTGTTGCAATTTAAAACCACTCTTGAAATTTTTGGCAAGCGCTAAAAAAAAGGGCCAGCCAGTATTGGCGGGCATGTCGGCGAACTGCAAGAGAGTGAAAGCACTAGTCAAACGGAGAAGACTGTATATATATATACCATATGTATACATATATAAATAAATAAATATATATATATATATATATACATATACATATATATATATATATATATATATATATATATATATATATATATATATATATATATATATATATATGTATTTATATATAAATATACATATATATATAAAAAAATGAACTTACATCTAAGTATGAAGCATTAATATAATCTGAACCAGGTTCATTTTCAATCTTAGATAATATAACACGAGAATGATCATCTAAAAGAAGTTACACCAAATGAATATAGCTGTACCAGAAATATTTACATCCAAATGATTATTTCCTTTTAAAACACTAACAAATCTCTATCTTTTAATTACACCAAAAACGCAAGTTTTTTTTACAAGTTTTTCTCATCAATAAAAATAATAAGATTTAAATAAGAATTTTGCTGAAATCGTTGTTACAAAAATCTTAGCATAGTTTTTAAATAGTCAGAAAATTTTTCTAAACTTTTTTACTTGTCTTAGGATCAATAATAAGACAGAAATACTCTTATTTTTAAAAAATTACTTTTAGATGGATGAATGAACCTTAGATCAAAGTACTTCAGCAACAGTTTGATATGAGAAAAAAGTTTTGTTTTTTGTAACAGCTAAGTGTTTCTCTGTTATGATATAATCAATGATTGATTTAAGCAACAGTTTGAATTGTGACATTATGATTTATATTGTTATTATTAGTTAATTTTTTTTTAATTCATATTTCTTTTTTATAAAAACTAATTTACTTCGTACAAGGCCGTAAGCAATTCTATATATGATGGGAGTTATCCAAAAAATGATAGCAATATACCTTGTCTAGCAGAGAAAAGGCATTGTAAAAAACTCTCCTAAATATGAAAACAGCATACCATACAGGGACAAATAATACATTTGTAGAAGTAGAAAATGTAATTGAGAATAAAGAAATGGGAACCCTATTAAGCAACCTAAGGAAATGATAACTTAGTAATCAATTGTATATATGATTACCATTGATTTCCATGAGAGGTCAGTAGTAAATGATAATCAGAGAAGACACGAATACTGCAATATTTGTAAGCAGTAAACAGCTGAGTTTTGTATGGATTAAAATTCACAAGCTACAGCAAGCCCCAAGCGGTCACAGAAGAGAGAACACATTCAAAATTGACTGCCTGTTCTAAGCATTTCAAAATTAATAACTTTTCATTAAGCAATTATTTTCATTTTCTCCCTTCCATACCAGCTTGAACCCTTGAGATTATGTAGGAGACACAATTAGGCAGAGAGATAAAAGATATCAGCCCAATTCAGTCAATTAGACCTGTAGATTAAAAAGAAAAAATGAAGTACTTATTTAACAGAAGCATTGATGTGGAAATATATGAAAATTAAATACTTTACTGTAGTTATTAATTATAATAAAAATAATCCATTCATAAATTGGTTCAAATTTTATTTATTTGAAGACTCAATTAAATAATATTATAGGATTTTGCATCTTAAAGATTTATTTTTAGTAATTTTAGGATCTTAAATTAATATTACTGGTACTAATTCAAATGGCTAATTTAAAACATCATACCCCACCATAACCTTTAACATATTATAAAAATAAATATAATTATAATAAGACATTTAAACAGATTAATAACAAAATAAAAACACTCACAAGCTACAATGTTAGCATATCGATTTTTTGGCTTGTTTTCTGGCAGATGAGCAATATCATAAGGAAACTCTTTTCCAATTTTTAGTTGCTGATTATATTTTATAAAAAATAAATTATTAATATATTTTACTGAATATATTTTATAAAAAATAAATTAATTAGCAAAATTAAAACTTAAAAAAGAGTTTATATCTATAATAACAAAATAAAATTGGTAAAAACAAAAACAACCTTGTAATCTTCCTTAAATCCAATGTTATCATTTTTATGTAACTTAGCCACTGCCTTCGGAAAAGCAGTGACTTCTATTGGAGGATAATTTAGATTTATGTTGTTGAAATTTACTGTACCATCTTTGTCTAAATAAACCAAGATTTGAATAAAAGAAAAAAAATTTGAAAATACAAATGATAGAAAATAATAAACATACAATCTGATCCTTTTCTTTGAATTGGAACAAGGCTGATTTTTACAGGGTCGCTGTAGCTTTTAGGATGGTGCCTTTTCCAAAACCTTGATAAAACATGTTTAAAACTAAAACAAAAACTAAAACAAAAACAAAAAAAACAACAACAACAAAAAGCACACCACTTTTTACTTAATAATGTTTTAATCATCATTTGAATAACTTTATCATATAAACCATAATATGTAAAAAAAAGAAAAGAAAACTGGTTAAATTAAAAAAAAGAAAATTGGTCAAACTAAAAAAAAGAAAACTGGTGAAACTTAAAAAAAGAAAACTGGTCAAACTAGGAAAAAATTTGAGAAAAGCAATCTTTATTATTTTAAAATAATTTTTAGAAAAAATAAATTTATATATGGTTTAGGATTTTTTTAGAACACTTTTTAAAAAACACAAAAATCCAGTATATATATATATATATATATATATATATATATATATATATATATATATATATATATATATATATATATATATATATATATATACTGGATTTTTGTGTTTTTGTGTTTGTATTTTCAAATTTTTTTTCTTTTATTCAAATCTTGGTTTATTTATCATATATATATATATATATATATATATATATATATATATATATATATATATATATATATATATATATATATATATATATATATATATATATATATATATATATATATATATATATATATTTATGATAAATGTTTATATAAAATTTTTTTAAATAAATATAATGGTTACCATTATATTTGTTTAAATTTTTTTTTAATATATTATATATATATTTTTGATAAACATTTATCATAAATAAATATATACTGGATTTTTGTGTTTTTTCAAACTATGCTATATGCATAAAGGAAAGAGTGTTTAAAAGCTAGCAAAAAAATAAACTGTTGATTTTTATTATATTTTTTTTGTTTAAAGTAAAGGTTAACTTGTTTATAGTTCTACAATTTTTAAAAAATTGCGATTTTTTCACTGTTAACGAATCCTGCCAAAATAATTATCTATCAGATGTTCTATAAATGTTTATCTATCAGATGTTCTATAAATTTTTATCTATCAGATGTTTAACTATCGGAAACCTAGACACTGCAACAATATATTTTACTTCTTTGGATAAAACATCTTTTTCTCGTTTTTATTTTCTTTATATCCGATTCAATAAAAAAAACAAAAATTGACTGTTTGCAGACTGTTTGCTCGTTATTATTTTCATCAAAAAAATATAACAATTATTTTATGTTAATAAGATTACCATACGCCTTCCTTTTCCACAGGAGGAGAAAGCCAAATTTAAGAAAGGAAAAGTTGCAAAAAGGTTTTGGTTGTGCACAGTGGGCCAGTAGGCGGACAAAATGGGAAAAATTTTAGTTTTCTAATCTTGAAAACCTATTTAATTTTAGTATCTTCAATTTATATTGGTATATTATCATTCATTTAGTATCTTCATTTATATTGGTATATTAATTTCTTTATATGAAAATTACCAAGGTAATTTTCATATAAAGAAATTAATATACCAATATAAATGCTCATAAATGATTTTAACATGCTCAAATAAATTATTTACTTCAAAATCTCCTTCATGTTTAAAACAGTTGCATACAGTTCCAACTGACAAATAATTTATTCTTTATAGCGCCATTTTTTTAATTATTGTCATTGTTGGTTTTTATTTTTCTTTACTTTATATGAATCACAAGACTGCAAAAGATATTTGCCTTTTACTTAATTCATATAAATGCCAATCAAATCCTTTGTTAAATGGTGACATTTACTAAATTTTTTCTGAAAATAATTTCAAATGATCAAAAACTTGTCTGAAATTAAAAAAACTGAACATTAAACCTAAAAATGCATCTGATTTTAAAACATTTACTAACAATATAAGATACTTGCATAAAAAGATAAAAATCTTTAAAAAAAACCCTACCCAGTAATGGGCTGCTATTGTTAATTTTTTGCAGCAACCATTTAAATATGAAAGAAAAAAAATAGTTCTTATACAAATATTCAATTAAACATCGGAAGTGATTTAAATATTGCCTCAGACACAATGCAGAGAATAAAGTGTGATTCATGCAAAATAAAAAAAGATGCAATACGTAGTTTACAAGAAAAAAAAACAGGAAATTGCAGCAGAAAGTTTGTTTTTTGAAAAATCAATGACCTGTAACAAGCCTACAAATAAAAAATTTAAAAGACATTTTTTTCACTAAATTTGTGAAAATTGAAATATTCAAAAGAAAAAAACAAACAATTCAGCAGAATAAGTTTCATTCTCTAGATTTTGTAAATGAATTCTTGAGAAAACTAGTAGAATAAAGTTGCAACAAAATGTTAAAAAGATAGAAAGGAAACACAAAATTGCTATCAATGAATTACAGGAACAGATAAAAATCAAAGAGCAAGTAAACAAACAACTTGTAGAAAAAAATCATTATTTAACTAGTATTGTTTTAGAAAAAAAAAAAGATAATAAGCTAATTATAGAAACCAGAAAATTAAAAACATATGACCTACCCATAAGAAAATGTGTTTATGCTCCTAGTATTAATTAATATTATTATTATGTGCATGTGGAAAGTTTCTCATTTTTATTGGAAAACATTTCTATAAAGTTACACAACACAGAACTGCAAGAAACATCCCAACCACCCACAGTTAATAGAATGGCATATGAGCCAGGTGTTTTAGCATTGGTTCAGGCTGGTGAGGCACTTTTTCATTGCAAATGTGCAACAGTAGTGTTTGATGCAACCACCCTTTTAGACAAACATGTAAACAAATTTCTTATCAGTACCTATCCTCCACAGAGATGTTATTCTTTATTAACCACTAAACTTGCTGAAGGTACAGGATTTGACTGTGCCACTCATATTGTCAGTATAATAAAAGAACTTGCCAATACATTTACAGAGTTTAAAAATATTCCAGTAGAAGTTTTAGAGGTATTCACTCAAAAAATCAAAAGTTGCCTGTCAGACAGAGCACCTGTTAATAGTTGCATGAGGAACATGCTTCAGGAGGAGATGGACATTCAATTAATGCAACTGCGCTGCAATGTTCATCCATTGGAAACTATTGCTTTAAAAGCATTATTAGCTCTTAAAACAATAGATGAGTTGAAGATAAAACTGGTAAAAGGAACTGATGGAGTTGCAGTAACAGTCCTCAAAAATACTTTTAAGCTAAGGTAATCTTTTATATGTATATCTTTAATTATTAAATTTTTTTTTTAGTTTTATTTTCTTGTAAGCAATTGTTTTTTATTTCCACATAGAATTGTTGATCAAAAGGTAGCAACAAAAAAAGAACTATTACATACACAATAGGATATTGAAAAGTCAATGAAGATGAAGCTGAAGATATTGACATAAGCCAGGAAGGAGTTATAGCAGATGTAATACTTTAATAATGTAATACAGATGTAAAACCTGGAGTTCATTTTAAAATTGCTATAATATATTAGGCATTATTATCTTTTATTTTATTTATGTTGAATATTTTGTATACATTTTTATTTATTCCTTTTAATTTTAAAATTTTCTTATATTAACTAGGAGCAGACACAGGATTATTTTACATTTTCAGATACTGTATTTTGAATTGTGAAAACTTTAAGCATATTCAATTATATGTCAAATAAGAATGATTTGCTAGAAAATTGTGGTAATTAAAACTTAGGAACAAAACTATCTAAAAAAGAACCCACCTGTCTCAAATATTAATTTAATGAGTTAATAAGTTTTTAAGTTTATTATGAAACTAAATTTAAATTCATAGAAAGATTTTAAATTTAATCTAATCATTTTTTAATGGTAAAAGGTTATGATCATGTGAAACAACTTAAAAAAAATAACTTTAAAAACATCAAAAATTATTGGGGATGTTAATGGATTTAAATGTAGTATAAGATAAAAAGTTAAAGTATTTTAATAACTCTGTCCCCTCACATTTTTATGTGGGGGTACAAACTTTTTGGGGTATATTTGTTCCCAGGCTCTAATCACTTCAATTTTTTATATAAATTTTTCCCACATTCTCATTAGATTTAAGCATGAACAAACTTAAATTTAGATTAATTATGAATTTTTTAAATTTACTTGCCTTTTAATCACATTTATAATTTACTTGTCTTTTAATCACCCTTAATAACAATAACCGCCATACATATTCTTTGCATTCTACTTAACGACTAATCTTATTTGTTGAAGTGAATTTCATACCACTAACTAATAAGTTTTTTCTACATCGTTTGCATTATTAGGCATTAGTTTTTGACATTACTTTTAATACCTCTTATGAAAATCCGATAGGAGAGAGATTTTGTTTTTGGGAAGGCTAAGTTATTTTATTCAATATTTGATTGTTCTTGAACTCAGTCAAATAACTTGGACAATTTTTTTTAAATATGTTTTGGATTTAAGTTGTAAGTCATTTTCTTCTGAAAAATTAAAGGTTTCTAATGACCTATTTTTCCAAAGGTGTAGCATGCTTTTTTAAGTGTACAAGTAAACTGCTTTTGTCACAACTCCCTCTATTTTTACAAAGTTACCTGAGGCATTCCAATCAAAACAACCCTGTACCATAAAACTACATCCACCATGTTTTACAGTCGATAA